CAAAATTGTGTTTTTTTGTCGAAGTGACACACCACGCGAGTTATGCTCGATTTTTTGCCGAATTTTGACACACCACGCCGAAAAGGTTGCCCATCACTGCATTAGAGATTAGATATGGGAAGTCCACAGGATAGGGAAGAGCCAAATATCCATAACCACTTGGTCTAATCAGGATTGTCCAAGTCTGTCCCTATCCATCCAGATCTACACAGCTTCCAGACACTGGGACAAAACTTTCACAGCCCAGGGTCAAGATGTACAATTACAATGATTCCAGACTGGTTTCAGGTAATGATTTTCTTTATTTACAATTTTATTGGATTGTTGTATGCCATCCAGAATCACTTTCTGTGAGATGGGCAGCCATATAAATTTGATTAATAAATAAACCAGCAGGTGATCTTTTACAGATGTTTCATGTAGATATTAAACAAAAAAGGCAAGGGTATTAAGCCCTGTGCCACCCCATAAGTAAGGAGCCACAGACCTCTTCCCCATCAACACTGACTGGAATTCAACCCCCAAGAAAAAACTACTAACACAGCATCTCTGTCAACTCTCAGTCCCTAGTTCATCCAGAAGGCTACTGTGATTGTTATCAAAAGCCCTTGAGAGAACAAGATAGTTTTTCCTCCAGCTACACTGCTCTAGCTCTTTTTTATTATATTTCATGTTTCAAGACTATTTATTCGGCCTTACTCATGTTTCACTTTGTTTGGATCTACTTCCTACTTGTTCACCCAAAAAATATTGCCCCAGTTTTCATTACAAATAATGGTTGATGTTGTTTAGATTTTGCAATCAGGGTAGAAACTCTGTTTTACAGCAAAGGACATTCAGAGTTCATATTTGACAGATTTTCACAATAAGTGCCTGAAATAGGAAGGACTCAAGCAGATTACTGTAAATGTTTAAAGCGTTAAAGTCTTACAGTATAAGCTCAGACTCTCAGACAGGCAGATAATATACGGCTAATTGCTGATCTAGAGATCTATCGATTTAGCCAAGATTATTACTCTATGATTAACTGCTTCATTCAAAGTTAAACTTTGATTAGAAATGCTCTTTAATATAAGGGAAAGCAAAGTGGGAGGAACCAGGAACAACTGACACATTTATTTTTGCACAAGCAGGAATTTATAACATTAAGAGCTGCCAAGCTGTCATTCAGTCTGACTTCTTTTCTAGGATGGTTGAAAAAGGAAAACATGACAGCAAAAGATGACAGCCGTGAGGTGTAGTACAATGGGAAATGCCTTATTTGTATAAATTTTCAGCTTACCTTGAAATAGCCTTGGATAACCAGTTCATTCAACTCTACACCCTGGTGGCTCAGTGGTTAAGAAGCTGAGCTTGTCAGCTTTGAAAGCTGGCAGCTCAGATTCGAAACCCAAGCGCCATGCAATGGGGTGAGCACCCGTTCCTTGCTATCCTAGCAGTTCAAAAACATGTAAATGTGAGTAGATTAACAGGTACCACTTCCATGATAGCATGCTGTCATGCAACAACTAATGGAGTAAAATCTGCAGGGACGCCTTTACTTTTACTGTTGTAGAAGTTCTCCACTAAAACAAGCTGCCTTTGAAACAGGAAGATACTGTTGGTACTTTAGCGTATTTTATATTACTGCAGTGAACAAAACATATCACTTTAATAATCCTAGAACAAGTTGCATAGCAATATTTTTAAAACTTTGCAGGAGAGGGAGACAAAATTATGCTGTACAAATTATTTACTTTGTTGAACCCTTTTAATTAAGAGATATAACGATTCACTCTAAGGTTTGGGCCTGCTAGATATCATATCAATAAGAGCCGAGGTGGCGCAGCAGTTAGGGTGCAGTACTGCAGGCCACTTTAGCTGACTGTGTTCAGCAGGTCAGCGGTTCAAATCTCACCGGCTCAAGGTTGACTCAGCCTTCCATCCTTCTGGGGTAGGTAAAATGAGGACCCAGATTGTTGGGGGCAATGTAAATATATATATGCATTGCTTACTGGTGTACGCCGTTTGGAGAGTGCTTGCACTTAAAGCAGTATATAAGTCTCATAAATAAATAAATAAATAAAATATGCAACTGAAATACCTGGAGCCACTTATATCAATTCTCTACAGCATTTCCTAATGATTCCTTAATGATATCATATAGCACATGCTAGTCCACTAATAACTCAAAAAAATGCATTTCCGGTCACCAATTACTTTCAGACCAGCACCAGCCTGTGACTTTACCTTAGGTTCAAGGTCCACTATCAAGTGACTTCAAACTGCAAACAAGTCCTTTTACTCACAGGAAGATAGCCAATCATACACAGCAACGGGTACAGATTAAAATAACTGCTAAAAGGGATGCAGTCAATGTGTAGAACTTAAATCATGCTTATTCAGCTAAGAACAGTGGTTCTCAACCTTTTTAATGCCGCAACCCCCAACTGGTCGTAAGTCGAGGACTACTCAACCAGTCGTAAGTCGAGGACTACTCAACTGGTGCAGCACCGTTTGCAGAATGGGACTTTTGGCGGGCTCAGCAGGGCAGAGACAGCCTGGACAATTCCTATTGGCTTTTGAAAGCCAAGAATTAGACTCTATTCAAGAGAGTCTATTCTATTGGCTTTCAAAAGCCAATAGAATAAAAGGGAGTAGCACAGCTAAGGAAAGGGGGGAAAAAAATGGCAGACTGCGTTGTTTGGTGACCCCCGTGAAATGGTCGTTCGACCCCAAATGGGGTCCCGACCCACAGGTTGAGAACCACTGGCTAAGAGGCATCTGCTAACAATGAGCCTTAAAGGCATAATACCCTTCTGCCATAGACATTAGTAGTGGTCAAGGGAAAATAGGGAAAGTCCTGAGAAGATGGGAAGTTATAGGCTGGTTGAACATGTGGCTCTTGTCATGTTACATTATCCACAGCTTATCCAATTGGCTCATATATCCTCCTATGATTTTCAAACATCTTCCTTTCCTCTCCGATGTCCTCTTGAGGTAGAAAAGAAGGGTCTGGAAAAATTGGGAGGAGCAGGTTGATGGGTATATCATGGCTAAAGTTAAGGAGAGGTAAGAGAAGAAATCGACGGGCCATGCAGGACCAAGGGACACCGTATTTGCCCTTCTTGTTTTATATGATCTCTCTGGACTTATTATACCTGAAACCTGGAATATCTAAATATCTGATTAACCTCAAAATGCTGCTTGGCAGTTTATTCCAATACATTTATTATTTGAACCACATTCTCCAACTATTGGAGGTTTTAGTGGAATTAACTGTAATTAATTCTAAACCACTAATCCCTTTTAACAAAGTTAAAGAAATTCATTATTTGCATGGCCTTTACATAATGAGCTAGGGCACCCTGTCCTGGTCAGCCAGTAGAGCTATAGTTGAACAATGTGAAATCAGGTTCCTATACTATTAAAAATGAGATTAATACTAACCCCCAAAACTGTACACCTCAGAGAACTGAGTTGAAAAAATAATTTAAAAATGTCTTTTTACTGCCAAATTTGGGGCCAAAATCCATATTAATATGATTTTGTGTGTATTAAGAGAGGCATGGGCTTTTATCACCAGTATTTGGAATCTATTAATAGGGGATTTTTCAACTATTGGGGTTCACTAAGAGAATTTATTGGGAGAACCCCTCCCCTGACTCCTTTTACAGTAAGGGACTGTTATTATGTCATGTTTATCAACATACAAATTCATTTTTTTGATAAAGAAGAAAGACTTCTCAAGCAAAATAGTAAATATTATCAGGATTATTAATTTTGAAATTATTTAATGTAGTTTTGTCTTTTTATCTACTACTGTATTCAGTTTGACACACATTACACAAAAGATCCATTCAATATTATATTCCCAGGAGGAAACAGATGCCAAAAGGAAACCTATAAATGAAAATACTGCTGTGTATATAATGAGTATAGGGAGGTGTATTATCTCCTGAAATGAAGTTAACCTGCTAGAATAATTTTTAGGCAATAAAATGCCCAATCATATCTTGCTTTTTTAAGATAGTTTAAAGCAATGCAGTGGTAATTCTACTAGTGTGAAAATCTTTTGGATTAAAAAAAGATAAGTAATATATTGTTCTATATGCCAAATATTAATATTCCATGCTTGCTTTTGGATCAATATTAATGTTAAAAGATTCATAATCATTTTTTTTATTTTTCAGAGCAGAACAATATTCAAAACTTCATTGGTTTATTAAAAACTATTGAATTTTATTTCCTTGTAGTACATTATCTTGATGATACTGTATAGTTTACTGAGGTTACCTTTGCTGCCACTGAGTAACTATAAAACACCTTGAATGCACAACAAAGCCAGTACCTTTATCTTTTAACACTACTACCAGTATGTATGTGATAGGAATATTATATGTAAACACTGCAGGAAAGGAGATGTGTTAGCCTACTACAGTAACCAAAAATCATAACGAGTCTGGTAGCACCTTTTCAACCGTTAAAAGGCTTTTCAAACAAAATTCAGCAATTTAAAAAAATGTTACCAGACTCTACTACCCAAATGTTATACTGTACATGTAAAGTAACCTTTTGACAAACAGCACAGGAAATCTGTGTGTAATGTTTTGGCTCTATATTTCCTCTAATTATACTTAAGAATTAATAATAGACTGAAGACAATGGATTGAAGAGACTATTGCTCTTTCATTTCATTTGTGTAAACTTCCTAGAGATACCAGATAGGCCATTGTAGGAATTATAATACTAAAGCAGTAGATGGTGGTTTGAATACATGACTCTTTTTTTTTTGACCCTCTGGAAAAAAATGGCACATCCATGTCTACATGAACGAAGTACTAAAATGAACATCAAATCAAAGCCTCATCTTTTAAGATGGGCATTCTACAGATATTTGCTTCAAAGTGCCATTTGTCCTAATACTATCTTTGATTCCATATGGAATTTAAAAACCTTATCAAAATACTAAGCAAGTAGAAACCAATATTGTAGGATAAGGGCGCTCTCATTTTACGTACCTTAGAAAAAGTATTCTCGCTTCCTTCCTCCCTTCCCTTTTGTCCGCAACCTAGATGGCCGGAATAGGGTCTTTCTTCCCCTTATTTCCATCTTCAGAAATAAAGATAGTTTTCACTAGTTCTCTAATTCCTTAAGGAGGCATTATGGTACATGTTTTAGTTGTATATTTTAAAGCAGCATCTCGATCTTCTATTTTCTCAAGGGCTAATCCCACACCCCTATTCCTGTTTACTTTTTTGCCTCGACTTGGGGAGTTACAAGAGGAATTATGTATGGGGGGGAGGGAGGGGAAACTTCATACAACGCTTACTGATACACACCACGAGCGAAAGAATCAGAAGCAGCAAAATAAATAACTTCTCCGGTCCCAGACGCCGTTTCTTGTCTTATTCTCACGTGCTTGCAGCCTTGTTGCACTTCCGGTACGCCGGTCTGCCTTAGAAGCGGAAGTAGCGCCTGGCTTTCAAACGGATTAATGCGTCCCCCGTTTCTTCGGATACACGTTGTGCTGCGAATTCGCTTCGAGGTGGGGGTTTGAGGAGGAAGCGTGGTAGGGTTTCTTTAGCAGATGTCCGGTAAATGCCGTGACCCCTCGGTGGGGCGGGGGGAAACGTTTGCAAAAACCTCCCCGTATTAAGCCATTTTTGCAGCCTTAAACGTCCGCCACCCATGTTTTGCACTGCAATTCTCACCGTTCCAAGAGCCTATTAAAAAGAGAATGATGGAAATTGCAGGGATTGGGATCTAGATTAAGCCGCTAGAGACCTATTAGGCTGGTCTGAAATACAGGTAGTCCTCGATTTACAACAGTTCATTTAGTGACTGTTCAAAATTGCTACGGAACAGAAAAAAGTGACTTTTGTCCGTTTTTCACACTTAACGAATGTTGCAGCATCTCCATAGTCATGTGATCAAAATTAAAATGCTTTACAACTGGTTCAAATTTATGACGGTTGGAGTGTCCTGGAGTTGTGATTATTTTTTGCGACTTTCTGACAAAGTCAACGGGGAAGGGAGATTCACTTAACAACCATGTTACTAACAACTGCGGTGATTCACTTAACAACTGTGCAAGAAAGATAAAACCAGGCAAAACTCACTTAACATATGTCTTGCTTAGCAACATAAATGCTGGGCTCAATTGCAGTTGTAAGTCAAGGACTACCTATACTGCAGTTTCTTTGCTCAACTGTAGGGGAAGAGAGGCTGCTCCTTCTTCGATTGCCCCCCTGAGAAACATTTAATTCATATTGATTTTAGATTGCAGGGCACACTGGCTGAGGAATCCTGGGAGTTGAAGTCCACAAGCCATAAAAAGGGCCAAGTTTGAAGACCCCCGATCTAGCTGATTGTGGCTTACGGTATTTCAGGGGCTATAATCATCCATGGTTAAATGTGATATATGAATATAGGTTTTTCTTCCTCCTGCAGCTTTGTAAAGTGACTTAGGTCTACAAGGTTATTGTAGCTTATTTAATTGTTAGATGTTTATGCTCACTTTTGTTTGCATTATTTTTCTGGAGTCAGATTCTCTGAGCTAGGTGTATGCGTAAGCTGCCCATAGTCACTGTGAGTTGGGCAGCCATATAAATTTTCTTAATGATAAATTAGTGGTGGCCACTAATCCCCCTTTTAATGTTACTTTGGGACTTGATGTGACATACAAATAAATTTATGAGGTGAGGAGGGATTCTTGTCTCAATTGTGAGACCTAATGGGAACAATCTGTTCTGTTTTGGTTAGGCCTTTTCTGCAGCTTTCTTGGTGTGCCATATTTTAGTGAAGGTAATCAGGAAGTAGGAGACAAAGTAGGTAATGAGATGCCAGATATGTGTACTACAGTACATGGAAAGATTGAAGGGATTGACTGGATATGCTTAGCCTGGAAATCATGAGAGGCAATATGATAGCCAAACACATCAGAAACATTGATTGCAGATGAAATATGGAAAAAAAATCTTTTCCCTACTCCTGCTTTAGAACTATGCACAGCCTTTCAGGGGCTGTTGAACTACAACTAATATTATGCTGCTTCATTGGCCACAAAGGCTAATATTCAAGGGGATTGGAATTCATGTTACTTAGTTGTTCTAGAGCTTAGGGCCATGGTGGCGAACCTATGGCACGGGTGCCAGAGGCGGCACTCAGAGCCCTCTCTGTGGGCACACATGCCATCGCCCTAGCAGAGTTCACCAGAGTAGCAAGCACGTGGCTTTTGGAAGCGACGGGGCAGGAAGTGAGCGAGCAAGGGGCATTGGCTCCCTGGGGATGTCCCGGAGATGGCGACGGACTGGTCCCCACCACCCTGGCCCCGGCCCACGCATCCTGGCCATGCCCACACAGTCTGCCATGACCACCGCAGCTATGCTCACCCAGCGGCCGTGCCCACCCAGTGGGCCACACCCCCCTCCCGCTCCCCTGAGAGCACCACAATGCTGATGCGGCCCTGGCAGACTTTGCAATAAATAAGTGGGTTTTGGGTTGCAGTTTGGGACTCGGTCTCTAAAAGGTTTGCCATTACTATTCTAGAGCTTAGGGTCTAATCACCCAACTCAAATTACAAGATTGGGGTTTCTGCTAATTTAAAGAGCCACTTTTATGTAGTAGTTAAAGTACAAGGCTAAAAAGTGAGAGATTATAGGTTCTAGTCAAAGTCAGCTGAGTGATTTGTGACACTCCATCTATCTTAGTCCTAGGAGAGACGGTGGCAAATCACTTCTGGAAAACCTTGCCAAGGAACTGCAGATATTCATCCAGGCAGTTGCCAGGAGTCAACACTGACTCAAAAGCACAAAAAAGGTTTTTTTTTTTAATTTCTGAAATTTTACAGAGAGATGCTGTAATGATTATCACATTTGGGAAACTGTAATGGTCCTTTACATAACAATAGCATATAGAATTATATACCACTCTGTAGTGCTTTACAGCACTCTCTGAACGGTTTACAACATCAGCATATTGCCCCCAACCATCTGTGTCCTCATTTTACTGACCTTGGAAGGATGGAAGGCTGAGTCAACCTTGAGCCCCATCAGGATCGAACTCCTGACTGTGGGCAGAGTTTGCCTATAATACTGCATTCTAACCACTGCGCCACTAGGGTGCCACATTGTAAATACAGCTATCAATATCTGAATATTCTGGAGGAATTATCTTCTTAGCTCAAAAATAATCCTGGATTAACCATTAAGCAAAATAAGCACATCCTTAAGTCACCAATGAAAGGGAGCCACAGAATGTTTTTCCCCTAGCTATCATTCCCCTTATTTTTTGACTTTAGTCAATATTTTTTTTAATAATTATCATTGTCTGCCCTGTTCAACTTTAATCTGCAATGTTAAAAACATTGGTATGGTGAGTGACTAAAGGTTAAAAGTTTGGTTTGAAAGTGTCATCAGATATCATATTTTTTTCATGGCATGAGAATTTTGCTTTTGTTAAGGGACACCATCTTGTGCTGTACTTAGGATATCAATTGGCCTTAATCTGGCCTTGCCTAAAATAATATTAGCTGATTCATGTGTTCATTCAAATATTTATGCACTTATTAAGACCGTGAGGAGTTTATCTTAACATCTTTATCTTTAGCAGTGGAAAGAACAATGGCAACAAAATTGTCAAAGTTGAAAACGCCAAATCAAACTCCATCTCAGTTATAAAACCCAGGCCTGAGGCTCACAATGAACTGATTCATTGGCTGCACCAAGCAAAATTTGAATTTTGTTAGCCCTTGCCCCATTTCTTAAATTTAGAAGGGAGTTCAACAGAGTGTACATTTTTTATGACCAGACTAAATTAGATTCTGAGAAATGAATGGATCAATGATACTGACTGCCCTGTTTCCTGAATGTAATTTTCTGAAATAATAACTATTTTGACTGGAAATTGGTAAGAACCCTTAAGCCTAACCGTTTCTCTCTGAGCTACTTTTCTATCAAAATTGCTTTGGAGAGAGATTGCTTTTCATGGACAAACACTCATGTGGCTTTTTTTCATTTAGGCTTAATGCTAATTGGAGCAGATTCAGGTCTAATGCAGTGGATGTCATTGTAGTTCACATCTGTAGAATGGTTTTAATAAAGATGGTCAGGCTGTGTAATAACATGTGGGAATGACCTTGAGAGAAAAGGAAGAGCCACAGACTCTAGGCAATTGTCAGATAAAAGGCAGCTGAACTTACAGAAGGAAGACTCTGTGTCTGTGTCTGTGTGTGTGGTGTAAATGTCTCAGAAAGGACTGCCTCTACTTTCTTGGACTGTAAAGGTGAAGGAGGAGAAATGTACTTTCAGCCTTGTAAGATTATGTTAAGATAACCTTACAATAAAGGGACAGGTAATAGTTCTGGATGAAAAAGATCAATATTCTCATGTCAGTTATCAACATTTGTACTGTTCTAAGCTTCAACATATGTGTGAACAAGAACGTATTAGGTAAAAGAGGTTGTCTCATGAATACCAGGAGACGCTTTGGCTGAATTCACCCTTAATGGTTTAGGGTGCCAGGGGTCCTCAACCTTGGCAACTTTAAGACTTGTGGACTTCAACTCCCAGAATTCCTCAGCCAGCAAAGCTGACTGAGGAATTCTGGAAATTGAAGTCCACATGTCTTAAAGTTGCCAAGTTGAGAACCCCTGGTTTAGGCAATGTGGTTTGTTATTGTCTTTGGTACAGTGCAATGTGCGAGTCACGGTTTATATTAATTTGATAATGTGAATAGGGCCTCCGTTGGATGATTAAAAAAAACATTTTTAAAGCAGACTGTAATTTTATTTTGTGACTTAATCTTTGAGTGCCTATTTTAAAAACCTTCCAATTACTTTATCTTTTCCCCTTCCTTGGAAAGTGGTTAGAAAGTATATGGAAGTCAGATACATAGAATTTATGATCAGTAAAGCTTGACTGAAGACTGTCATAAAAAAAACTTTCTAATATGAGTGATTCTGGCTTATAACACGTACACAGCCATTAGCAGTGATGACATCAGTAAGTCTAGGAAGGTTTTAGAACTGATGTGGAGACATTATTGTTTTCATTTTAATGTACTTTTATTACTTGTTTCTTTTACCTCACAAGATATTGTTTAGGAGAAAAAATCTAGCTCTCATATCTTCATATGTAGACAAACTGATGAGCTTTTGTTATTGAACTGTGAGTTAGCTAGTTTGGTATGTTATCTGTTATGAAGTCGGGCTTTTAAAATTGTGTTCTGCAGAACCTCAAGATTCAATGAGACCTTAATGGGGTTCCATGGGAGACTAAAGGTAAAAATAACAAGAATTCACTTATGCAGCCAGTGGTTCTGGTACTTTTAAAAAATTATTATCAGGTTTCATAGCCTAAAAAAAATATACAGTATTATACAGGACAGTTCATTAATGTGATGAATAAACTCTCAATTTTTGTATTGCTACTGTGAGCCTGCTTCTTTCGAGCTGTAGCTGAAACAATGGATTATTGTTTTCTTTGTAGGGGCTGTGGCAATGCATCTGTTTCTTTTAGAAAATAAAGATTTTTTTTTTAAATAACCAATGCACCTATCTTTACTTGATAAACAGTACATTTGTTTTGATGGTCATATTTTTGATGGATTTGTTTTTGATGGACATATTTTGATGTGAGATTTGCAAATGCTTCAGAAAGGAAAGTTTTGTTCATTCTGTTTATTTTGTTCTAAAGAAGGCAACCACATTTCTTAGAAGGGGTGCTTGTATGACGGCTGTTAAAGCAGCCAGCTAATATGTTTCTCCTTGGCTATTGCCCAGAAGGATTGTTGAAATGTCAGAGTGATCTTTGCAATGTCAGATGAGGGGCCCTTTTAGATCATCAGCTCTAACTTAGGTTTCTGCCAGCTCATCTGCTTGCTAATCCCAGATAAACATTTTGGCTGAGATTTTTTTTTTTAATTGTTGCTTGCTTTGCTTCTTCTATTCCCATTTACCTTAATGGCTAGAAATAATTGAAAAGGCAAATGGACAGGATGTAAACAAGTCATTGTTAGCTTATTTCATTTATTTACAACTGCTTTCAGCATTTCAGGCCTTGTAATGTATTTAAATTAAAAATGACAAACTAGGTAAGTACTGAAGCTTAAGGCTTGAAAAATTGTTAACATTTAGGATTCCTGCTCTCTTACCCTGCTATCTTATTCCTGCTATCTTTTATATCATTCTTAGAATGATAAGCCCAAATTCTTTTTGGCTGAATGAGCACAATTTATCAGTTGTTTTTCCGCAGCACTTACTGTGTTTCATTGAAAAATGAGATCTCAATCTCTTTTGGAAGTTCATTTGCCATAACATAAAGAGTATCCTTCTTCATCCAGAAAGAACAGTTTGGTTTTTCCTGTTCCAGGCTCTTTTATA